CAGGGGAGTAGTAATAGGATATGGAGTCTTTCACCTTAAGTTCAGCAGTTCTTACCCACAAATTCCCAGGCAGTGATCAGTAATTCCTCATTAACCCCAGAACAAAATGAATCTGACTCCACTCAGACATGTAGATGACTTTTGAGCATGTCTGTCAACAAGGAGTATCACCGTCTCTGTCAACTAAATTTCAAAGTGAACAACTCCAGTGCTGTGAGTAAATAGGAGAAGTCGATGCTTTCCTGCAGAATTAACTTTTTTTTCTTTTTTCTTTTTTTGTCTTGAGACTCAACACACTAACATAGTAACTCCAGATGCAGACTTAAAGACTACAAATTAACTGGTGTCCTTTGGTGCCCCTTCAAGACAAACAGCTAATAGTACTACAATCATAAAAGCTGGAAAAAAAATTCTTAAGAGAAAAAAATGAAAAAAAGCAAGACTGAAAACTAAAAAAACTAAAAACCACCATACCTAAATTATAATGAATCTGCAAGAGGACCCTAATTTTATGATCCTACTTGCGCTGCCAAGAACATAAAGAATCACTGATTCTTGACATCATACTTTTGCTGAAGGGCAATAACCTCCTCTGTATGCATTGCCTTAATCATGTCAAGTTGTGTCCCACAGATTTGCATATCTCCCAAGAAAGCATGGTGCATTGCCAGCAGCCTGATAGGCCAGATCAAAACAATTTCCTAATGTATGTTTACATCAGTTTTGGCTCCTGAGCCGCTCTTGTTCTAGTTGTTCTCCAAAACAGAGCCAATTCCCTCTCTTAAAGCGGTGTGTTGCACTGGGGACAGAAAGCAGAATAAGCAGACCATGCACCGATACACTGTCCTCATCAAAATTGTGCAATGCTTTCTAGATTAATGAACTGCAAATCAGATACACAAATGAAACCACATGCTGGATATAAACCCAGTCCTCCGAGACGCGCTTGTTGTCACAAGTCAGAGAGGGAGGTGGGGGGAAGAGGGAAAGAGAGCGCGCAAGCCTGTGTGTGATGGGGGTGTAATGAATGCCAGCTACCCTCTCGACTCTCTGGGATATGTGGGGATGACAAACTCTCTGAGGAACAATTCCTTTGACTGGTTCGCTGAGGAAAGGAAACTTGTCATGCTGCCAAGAATAAAACTGCTTCTGGGCTTAGTTTTGAATTTTATAAAGTGAATAAGTGAAAAATGTATACACATTCACTTCAGACCCAAGTCATGAATAATTGAAAGAATATATAATTGTACCCAGCTTTCCCCTCAAGCTCAACCAGCAAAGATATCTTCTGTCCATGTAACGGGGTACCTCAAATTCCGTTCAGAAACTGAAAACAATCTTAACCGAATGTCACTGAATTCACACTGCATGCAAGTAGGAATAACAGCCTGACCATCAGAAAAGCAAAGGAAAAACTCAACAGTTTTAAATTAAGGAAGCTGCACATTTCTGGTTATACAGAAATGTTCTGCTAGTGTGGCTCATCCACATTTGATACTGGGTTCTGACAACAGTATGACAGAAAATGTGTTATTAGCACATTATGATGGCAGACATTAGACTGGTGCTGCAAATGGCAGAGAGTACATTTTTATAAGGCACAATAAGATAAAAATGTATACCAGGCCAAAAATACATGTGCAGAAAATAAACTCAGCAAACAGAAGTTATCTGTACCTGTTTGTAGTGCTTTTTTTTTTTTTCCCCCTAAGATAGGGAGATGTTCCAGCACAGATAGCAAAATGTAAGTTAACAGGAGACTGCCACGTTTTCCTCCACTTATACTGAACTATATACTGAAGTATATATATATATATACATACACACTATAGGGTGCACTAGAACTGTTTAATGGTATTTTTATCAAGAAGACAGATGCAAGAGATTTACTGCTTTTATTCTTCCACATTATTCCTGTAGTTCATAAGTCCTTCCATTTTCAACTGAGAATTACTATTCTCTGAGGACACAGTAGTTAGCAAATACAGTATGGATAGCAATGTATCTGGTATGGCCCATTTGCAGATACAGAAAGCTTATTTAAATACTAACAAAGAATATTGGTGACTTCTGTGAACAACATGACCATTATCCGCTCCCACTGTGGTATTAATGGTTGTGTCCAACAAACTGTGATGCTCTTTGATATGAATAATATGTTAAAAAACCTGAATCACACACAGATGAACAGATTCAATTTAAGTAAAGATAATAGTTATATCTTCAAAATGGTCTGGGGTTTGGCTTGGCTGTTACGAAAGTTGCACATTCTTTATACTGTTGTACTTCCCTAGCTGAATTTACAAACACCAAATGTTCACCTAGATCCAGTTTCTATTGTGGCTGCTAATCAACAAGGTACTTGCTGAGACATAAGGGCAAAACAGCAGACATGGGAAGTGCAATTCTGATTATGAAGAATGAGTCCTCTACAGCACAGTGGGTTCTATCTGAAGTAGCTGAAGGAGGTTTGGGATAAACTGTATTGCAGTATTGGAGGACCGTGATGAGGACAGGATCACTTTCTGCTCAGTATTTTTCCCATGATATACAGAGAGGATAGAACTACCACTACTAGCTAGCTACGTCAGCGTGATAACAGACTGCAATTGTACACACGGCTTTATAAATACAATGATGACGCACCCTACAGGAATACCACAGGAATATCAGAATACTGTACACTACTTTGTTCCTGTCCACATGTCTGAGAATTATTACTGTATAATATGTTGCTCTTGTAATTGTGTAGCACAGGTGCCTAAGACAAAAGTGAAAAAGAAAAGGTTGGAGAAAAAATGTTTTTACACTTTACAGGGAAAATGGCAGGGAGGAATTACATCCAAATCCAAACTCAGACTTTCAAACAAATATTTTTAAATTCCAACATTCCTGAGCTGTTGCCTGAATCAGTTGAAAGAGGGCATTTGTAACACAGGGTTTGTTTTTTTTTTTTTTTTTTTACTTTAGAATTAATAGACGGCATTTTACTAATAAGCAAAATATGAAAGGACCATGAAAATGTGAATGTTTCTGTGTTTAGTAGTTTTAGATTATTATTTTCTATATACAGGTTAATTGTGAATTATTTCAGACTTGAAGTTGTATAGCAGTTGATTTTTCCACATAGAGGGCAAAATTAACATGACAGAGTATTATTCTTAGAAGCCTGCTCTCTTTGGTAAAGCTTTCTTGTGAGAATCTGCTTATATTTGCAGCTGTCTGATGTTTAAAAACAGAATTATTCAACATCTGCGAGTAGTTCTCTCTGACCCCTTGTTTGCTTGTTTTCTAGGTTACCCAGGAGCACCGGAAAGATTTCCAGCCGTGTTGTGCCACCCCGTGTAAGAAATGGGAAATTGCACAGCTCTGCTGGCTGGGTGGTGCCCTGCAAATGGCAATTTGAGCAATTTGAAGGCAGTTTTGAGTTTATCAGCAACCAAATTATCATTTAGAAAAGCTCAACAGTATTTTGTATGAAACATGTTAAAACATTAACTTTAAACCTTTTGACATAATACGTAATAGTGGCCCTTTTCATATTACAGGTCTGATGAAGAATAAGGAAGGTTGTCACACAGCCTGTTTTCAGAGCTCAGCTGAGCCCAGCTCCGTCTGGAATAATTCCAGCTGTTCACCAGCAGAATGAGATCTCTATCCACTCAGCCCTAAACACCCGAGCAAGAACCTTACAAACTGTGTACAGAATTCCTGTAATCAGATCTGCACTATTAAAAACTGGGATGCTATGGGCATGAGCTGCTCAAAATATGTACACTAGTAATGGTAAATTTGGTGTGCAGCCAGGAAAATGTAATGCCCTGAAGCATGGAATAATGCTATTTTATCACCTTCATGGCTGTTACCTCCACAAACAAAAAATTAAACGGTGACAACAGAGTTGGGAGAACAAAACACCATTTTCCTTTTGCTGTTTCCCCTTCCTGTTTAATTGTATTTCTCATGCCAGTAGCTTCATAATTCCTTACACTTAAGCTCGCTCTTGCTTTGTGCTTGTGACTATTACCTGATAAGCCTATTTTGCAATAATGCCTACAGGCCTCAGGCTGTTTGCTGTGAATTATACTAATTCCTTATAAATATTCTAACAAATTTACCTTAATTGCTTTATTTCCTTAGATTTCATCTTTGCTGGAGGGGGGTGAGTGTCTCTGCTTTCTATTCTTCTTTAGCACTATATTCTTACACTGTAGGTTTCTCCATTCACGTCACGCACCATTAAATCACTTTTTTATTCTTCCTACCCTTCTTCCACACACGTGTCTCGTTATCCCAGGTTCCTGCTGTACCCTGGGCTCAAACAGACATTGGTGCACCTTTGCCTTTTGGCTGCGAGAAGCAGGAATTCAGTTTGGTCACAGTCTGACTGCAGCAATGTTGCTGCACAGGGCCAGTTCTGTGCAGCTGAGTTTGTTGGCACGCACACAGCAATACATACGCTCACGTTCCAGCAGATGTACTGTTGCAGAAATGAGCTCCCGATTAAAAAATGAATCTTGCCCCTCAGCTTCATGAATTCTGTGTGTGCAAACGCTGCCTTCCTGCTGCTGCGTCCCAACCCACCGTGTTCCAGCGGGGCGGGACTCACAGAGCAGCTTCTCAGGCAGCATTCTGCACCTCGGGCACTGCTCTCCCATCTCCTCCCCGCGATAACCTCTGTCGTTACTGCTGCCGAAGGACGGTGAGCTCAGGCTCTGCGTAGCTCCCCGAGCTCCTGCTATGGGTGCACGGTACCACCTGGTTTCACAAGGACTGCTCACCACCTCCGCCCCACCAGAGCCTTCAGACAGGCACCGCCCAGCTGCGCGCCTCGCGCTCTCAATGGCCGTCCGCGTGCGAGCAGCAAGTGCGCGTGCGCCACCTATAAGAGGGCGGCGGGCGGCCGTGCTTTGGCGTATGTGTGTGAGCTCTCCAATCATTGCAGGGCGCGGTGGTCACGTGAGGCTTGCGGGGTGCGTGCTTCCGGGGCCGCGCGGGGCGGCGCGCAAGGCAGAGCGGCGGTTCGGGCCGCGTCCGCCGCGGCCAGGCCCGGATCGTCCCGTCCGACTCCCGCCAGGTACGGCCGAGGGAGTTTTGGGAAGGCGGCGGGGAGTCGGGGTCTCGAGACGTGGAGCCGTGGCTGAGTCGCCAGCGGGGTCAGCCTGGTGGGGCCTGGCCGGGAGCGTTGCGTCGCGGGGCGCGGTTCCCCGAGCTGCGGCGCTGGGAGCGGGGCGGTGCGGTGCGGTGTGGTGTGGTGTGGTGTGTGGCGGGTTCGGACAGCGTTTCCTGTAGCGAGAGGCGGCCGGAGCGGCGTGGGCCGGGTGGCTGCGTGTGGCCGTGTGGCTGCGGGGCCTGGGCTGCTCCTCCAGTGCCCGGCGATGCGGGAGGGATGGGCAGCAGTAGGGCTTTGCCGAACAGCCGCAGCGGTGAGCGGCGCAGAGCTGTCGCAGTTGGGCCTCTGAGCCGTCAGCCGTTCGTGTAACGTGTAGCTGCGTGGTAGCTGGCGAGTTTGGTTAAGTCGGTTCTCAGCAAGTAATCCCATTTGCTCTTCGGTCGGGTGCCAGTGCTGTCGTCTGGCTGACAGATCGGCACTGAGCTGTGAGTCCCGGCGAGTTCAGCAGCGTGCGTTCCTACACCGCGCTGAGTGCGCCCGGCGAACCTGCAGCTCTCTTGCTTTGCCGAGTGATTTCTGTCCGTTTGCTGAGGAAAGGCAGCGAAGACTGCTATTAGCAGAGGGCTGTGCCTTGCCTCCTTGTGCTGACATGCAAGTGACACGACTTGGATGCCTGTCCTTGTATCTGGGATATGTTTTCAAGGGTTCGTGTGGCTTTGTTCTCAAAGCCAGTGGGGTTATGGAAATACTTAGAAATTACAGGGAGCTTTGCAGTATGAATCTGTGTGCAGGAAAATTATATATATGTATTCTTCTGGCGTGCTTTGAAATTAAAAACTGCTCTTGGATGCATCTCTTTAATGCCTGGAATGTGGAATTCCATTTGATCTTTCTCATGAAAAGGCGAAGGTGAAATGTAGGAAAACAGCAGCGTACCATTTTTTGGCTCACTGGGACTGCATCAGTGCGCCCTGTGTGTGTCAGGTGGAGCTCAGCAGTGAACTCCTCATTGCAGGAGTCTTGCAGAGTACACTCTGTATTCATTCTACTTCAAATGCTGTAATCCTCATATCCTCATCAGGGACCAAATATGATGGGTCTTTGTATTGGATGTATAGATGTGGCCACACAAATGCTTATCTTCTGTTTGTGTTCTTCAGAGAATTCAAAGGTGAAAGAAAATGTTTAAAAAGTAAAATAATTAAGCCTCTCAAAATGCAACAGGCCTTCTTCAAAAGTAAATTTTAGGCATTCTGTTGTCTTTTTTCCTTTAAATATCAGGACGTCTTAGAGTATGTGTGTAGCTGTAAGCCACATCAAACAGTGACAGCTCAATGGTCTTCTCAACCATGCTATGCTTGTATCATACATGTACCCAAACCAAGCCAGCTCCATGTTGGTGAGAGCTGAGAACCAGCCCTCCTTCCAGGAAAGGGATGAGAACACCCATGTTGGGCTTCTGGTGCAAGCAGTAACACACCTCAGCTAAGTATTTACATGGGTTTAACCTGTGTGTCTGCACTCAGATCCTTTCATTAGCTGCAGCAGAGAAGTGATTGCGGTGATGTGGTGCCTTGCAGTACTTCTTCCTGTTTGTAGTGCTCTGACTTGTTTAGAAGTATAACAGCAGTGCTGGTCACTGAAGTCCAGGGTTTGCATGAAGAAAGCAGAACCACATGGCAGTCCTGCAGCCAGGTGTTCTCTGTGTTGAAGTTTCTGACCTGATATATTTTCCAGTCTTCTAATTCCATTTCTGTACATTACATGGAGAGTAATAGCAAACAAATCTGCTGTTCTGAGAAACTATGAGTTGGCTGTGACGAGTGCTAGCAGCAGTCAGAAATTAATTGCTTCTCTACGTGACTAGTGAAGACTTGCATTATTAGTGTTATACTTTCAAGTTTAAAATTTACATGTTTCATTTACAGCTGATTTAGAAAGACTTGGGCGCAGTAAAAAAGAAAAGCCACTACTACCACAGCAGCCATAGGAAAACAATCCTAAACTCTGCTTTAGCTTGTATGAGCAGAGCTTTGTTCTTACTTTCTAAGCACTGGTATGATGATACAGAATCAGCCATCCTGGAAGTCTGCACTTCTTCAACTTTCCTAAAACTGAAGATTACCTTTCTTTCTGAATTTCTTACGTTGTTCTAATTGACAAGTGACAGTGCTTTTGTTCCTGAAACTTGAAGTCAAAACATCCGCAGCTCATTAACCTGCATCTCGAGTAGGATGTGGAAGTGAAGTGGCCTGAACTTGTGCTTTTCTGATGTAGGACTTGGAGCTTGCCCTTTAAATTGTTTGCAGTTATACTGCGCAGTATTTAATGGATGATGGTTTTCACATCTACCTTTATGAGAAGCTGTTGATGTGGGAAGCGTGTTCTAAAAGTATCTTAGCTTGGTTACAGCACAAATAACTTCCAAACCCCACACCTGTCCTTTATGCTGATAGGCATTGTTTCTGCACTGAAACGTGGTACATCTGAAATTAACAGATGTTAATTGGTGCTCAGCGTTCGTCATGAGTGGTGATAATGCTGTTAGGGCAGAACTCGGCTTTGAAGTCTTGGGGGAACAGCAGTGTGATCACAGTGTCTTACAGCCACTCGTGCAGTGACTGAGTTGGTTGCTGTCTTTTCTTTTGCTGTCTTCCTTTCTTTATCTGCCCTTAAGAATGGAATAACCAGTTGAGATTTTCTTTTAGGTTTATTCTGTTTTTAGGGAGCTGTGTCTTTGTATCAGATAATTCATTCCATGCTGACTGTAACCATTATGTTCTCTTCATTTGAGCATGTGGGATATCTTGTGCCACTTCTTGTGCTTCATCTCAGTGTCTCAAGACAAGTGCTGTGTACAAATTCATTGTTCCTGCTGATGGGGACAGAACTTCATCCCCAAGCAAATTCTTTAAATTCATTATTGCAAACACTCAGCAGGTTAGCACGCAGGAAGAACTTCATACCAAGGGTGTCGACATCTAATGAGAGAGGACGTATTTTTGTGAGGAAGGTGGTATGATTCAAGCAGCAAGAAAGCATTCCAGACAGCACACTAGTCAAAATGGACAGATAGGAAGAGGAGCGCTGGGAGGACTCTTACTGGGGACCTGAAGACTGTGTGGGCACGTATTGCCTACAACTGAGCTGCAGGGGATGAACAACTCAAAGAAGGAAAGGCTTCTGCTAAGGAGAGTTAGGTTGTTACCTTCTAGAAGCTTTATATTTATTTCCTGGGTGTGGGAGGAAGGAAAAGTCAGTTAAAAAAAAAAAAAAAAGCACTAATGACAAATTCAAGCTTAATTGTTTCTGGTAATACAGTTTTAACAACAAAATACTTCTAAATTTTTATATTGTGCAGCTTGTTTAGTATAGCCTTAAGCATTGCAGGTCTTTTGAGAATCGGTCTGTGGTTATTATCAGATCAGGAGAAGAGAAATTGACATTTTCCATAGTAGTTGATTCTACTGAATAGTAAGCATACTTGTTTCTTTTTATCCATGTAGGAATAAACTGTCTCTCTAGCTTGATTAGCTGTGTGATTGTATTCCAACTCTGTACTTACTGGGCTCTACCTTAATTGCTTCTTTACATTTAAAAATACAATTCAATTTCCTGTTTTCATGCTTTTCCTATCACTGATAAGTTTACCCGTTCCTGTCAGTCTTTAGAGCCAACACAGCCAAGATTTTCAACTGGATTGGATTTGTATCATAGCAGAATGGTTTATTATGTTCTGTTGTTGGGGATGCCCTGTTGCTGGTGATGGGTGAGCCTGAAAAAACCACAGCTCAACTTGCACATCTCTGGGTGAGTGCTCTTTTTGTTGAAGTGTTTTTTGTTTGTTTAAGAGCTGAGTTGTATTTTAGACCTGACCATCTGGTTTGTTTGCTTGTTTTCCCCAGACTACACCTTTATTCGGTATCTCTCATATAATTTAGAGAGTTGTCAGGTTTTGTTTTTTCATACAGTGTGGAGTGAAATGGTGTAATCCCAAATGAAAGATCAGGTTACTCTGAGCTTTTGTTGTAACTTAAAGATTGATTCTGCTTGAGCAGAGTGCTGGATTAGATGATTTCAAGAGATCCCTTCCAACCTAAATTATTATGACAGTTTTGTTATTATAAGCAGTTTATTACAAGTAGTTTTGCATTTGGAAAAAAAAAAAAAAGCGTGAGGATGGGCTGTGGTGGGAGGGGATGAACTGTTGACTGTTCCCTGTTTCTTCCACACAATGTCTCAACTTGGTGGTAAGTGATAGGATGCATTGTTGCAATATTGAACCATATCTTTTTATGTTCCTGTAGCTGCTGTTTAGCCTGCAGTCCAGAAGACAAGGGGTTCTGGCTGATCAGGAGTAACTACTAACAATTCAAGTTGGCTGGAGAATGGAAGGTGTTGAGTTTAAGGAAGAATGGCAAGATGAAGATTTTCCAAGGTTTTAAACTTTTTGTAAATAAAAATCAAATACATAACATCCAAAACAATCTGTCCCTATTTTCCTGATAAACTAATACTCAGTCTTGCAGTGATTTCCACTAACATAGTGATCTTGAGAGGCTTTTGTGCCTTGTTTCTTTGTGGTCTGGAAAGGGATAGCTTTATGTTAGTGTGTAAGTAATATAAGAATGCCCATACTGAAATTTCTGATGTTACCAGTATGAAAGTGTAAGTTCAGCTTTGTTTTCTTCTAGTGTTAAATGAACTTTTTCTGACTGTTTGCTTATAATCACCAATGACTGAGGGCCTGAGTACTGCAGGAAGCAATGCTTCTGAGCAAAGCTGCTAGCATGTAAGAGTACTGTGATGCTCAGACCTACAAAGAAATTTAAAAAAAAAAAAAAAAAAATTGACTTCATATATGTTCTGTTTTATAAAAAAAAAAAAAGTACTGTTTCTGTGATGTATTTAACATTAAACTTTATCAAGCAAGAATACAGTAAGTTTTCCTAAAGATGATACCAGTGGCAACTAGTACTTTGGCATTTCATAATGTGAATGCTTTAAGGAAATTTCTGCTGTGTTGTTTACTGCCAGCTTGAATTTAGATAGCATGTGCATTTGGATCAATACAACCCACAGTGTGTTTTTAGTGGAAGCTACTATTAAAGACTATTTTGTGTGTCAGGCCCCTGCCAGAGGATGATCCTGTTGACTCAGATATATTGGCTGCAGCAGGAACAGAAGGTGAAACTGGTAAGAACATCTCAATGTAGTTGGGCTGATGGTTTTCTACATAAATGGCTGTCCTAAAACTCTGTTTTGTGTTGATTCACTTTTTTTGTTGTTTTTGTTGTTGATGAGGCTTGAGGGATCAGCATTCTAAATGACATATTCATATGTGAACAGAGGGATCTGAGTAATAATGAACATAAATAACACTCATTTCATGACTGATCTTAAAATCTTGGTTTGTTATTTGATTTCTGTTCTGCATCAGGTCGGGCCTCCCTTAGTCTAGCTCCGTATTTCAGGCCTTTTAAGGTTTTTGGCAGTCCAAAAGATAAGAAAAACAAACACAGCTGTTTTGGATCTTGTCTGTCTGCTTTATCTTGGATAATTCCAGTACTGGATCAATATCTTTATTTGCTGCTTTCAGCTGCTGCCTAAATCACGCAAATGTTTGCCTTGTGTAAGAGCACGTTGTGTATTTGCCTAACACTTTCCTTAATCTGCTCATAGTATTGTCGTTTAGCTTTGTCTGTTTGTTTGGGTTTTTTTTTTTTGCCTTGTATATTGCTTCTTTCAAAGACAGCTGTGATGTTATTGATTCCTGACAAAAACAAGGGCTGGAATACAAATGCATTGCACTGTCTGCAATACTAGTGGAGGAGGCACTTCACATTTTTCTTTTGTTAATAGTAAGGTGATCTCCCTCTGACCTTAGTATGTATGCAGTTGGGTAAACATAACGTTTTAAGGGCTTGAACTTTAGTCTCCCAAGTTGTGTTCTTTTTACCATGTATATTTTAATTCCTGATGTAGGGATACATTGTTTAAATGGTGGGCGTTAACTTACTGTGTACTCTGGGGAAGTGCAGTTGTCTTGTTACTGTGCTCGTCTAAACTCACTTGAGCTTTGAAAACAAATTTGCTTTTTTAAATGCAGCAGTTAATGGAACCAAAGTGAGGAAGAAACTTACAGCTCCAGATATTAGCTTAAATTTAGATCGCAGTGAGGAGTCTGTTTTGTCTGACTTGGATGAGAGCGGAGACATTGATTTGGATGACTTAGATACTCCTTCAGAGAATAGCAATGAGTTTGAATGGGAAGGTAAGTGTTTTGTAGCTCTTGTATGTTGCCACAGGATGTTTTCTTATTCTTCAGGTGGGAAAGAACTGTGACTTGTAATTTCTTTTCTCATGCAAGTCATTAGATAGAGACAATTTTTAAAAAGCAAATCCTATGCTGACTGACTAATAACAAACAAACATAATAGCTATTAACTCCAATAAAGTAAAGTGAATGCAAATCCTTGGTACAAACATACGCTTTACATGTGTTATAATTCCATTCTGTATAGAGGTAAGCAACGTGAATATTAGCAGGTTGCACATTAGCGTATCAGGACTTTGTGAATTGTAAGCCTATGTATTTAAAGAGATCTAAATGATGTTCTTAAAAAATGAGTAACACCTGAGTAATTTACTGCTGAAATGAAACTGAGAAAAGGTCAGAACTCTTCAGACTTCGCAAACTGTATTGGCTGGAAGTAGTAGAAAAACCTATGTTTTCTGTCAACTTGAAATATGTTTGAAGTTAACTTACCTATAGCCACGGTGGAAGTGCTACAGAAATGATCCTTACGAAATGAGTAGATTGTTAATAATATTTTTATAGGCAAAATCTGTTGAATCTAGTTTTGTTGGAAGTAACAAAGTTCTGTGTAGGAGTTAGAGCACAAATTTCAAACTTGCAGCTTAGTTATAATTAGGGCCCTTTTAATGTAAGCTAAGGACTTTTACTTTGGTCAAACAGTTGGAGTTAAACTTCTGTAAACATACTACTTAAAAATGTATCTGAAACTATAGATACGTGACCTTGACTATTACTTGTTTTGTGCTGCAAATAATAAAAAAGAATCCTGAGAAAACAGGAAGTTCTTTTCATTGTTACATATGAAAAAAATCTGTTATTCATTCCAGGGTAGCTTATAAATAGATGGAAAACGTTCTTTAAAGCAAGGGTTTTTAATACCTAAGATATTGCAGGTCAAGATTTGGTAACAGAGGCTCTGGGCTTACCTGTAGAAACGAGTCTGTTTGAGAACTCTAGAGACGAAGAGCTGGTGTTTGGGGTTAGCTTTGCAGTGCTGCTAAGGAAATGTTCCAGATATTTGTGCCTTGTTTTTCAAAAGTGGCTGAAAAGGGTTTCTGTCTTTTCTTCCTTTAATGCTGCTGCCTTCATTTTCCTGGAAGGATAGTTTCAGTTAACAGCTTTGTCTTGGGAACAGACAACTAACTTGCAGTAGGTTTTTCTCGCTTTGGGTAAGGTCTATGCAACGAAGTCAAGAATCATTTATTTAATTGGAGCAATTTTTTTGACAGATTGCTGTCAGCATAAATTTCGTATAGTGATTGTGCGCACACACAAATTAGATCTAATTTCTAATAGAATGCCTGCATGTCTGCTTGCAAGATAGTGTTAATATTTTAAATTATGCTTCCATGTAAATCTGTGATCAAGTAACCTGTATGATTATCACAGAGTTAACCACTTTGCCTATTTTGGTGACATCCATTCAGGTCAGTGTACTGAATGCTTCCTGTTAAGTAGGCTTCTTACCTAATCAGAACCTTGCATGCGCTTTCAAATATAAAACTGCAGTTCATGGCAAACAAAGCTAACAGTAGTTTGATAAAAGTTTGATGTTGATGAGATGGTCTTTTGTCATGACTGAGGGAACTGATGTCCTTCAGCTAAATGTATTGACTGACTTAAATTGGATAGCAAAATGGTTAACCTGTGTTATAATTGGCCATCACTGTATGCAGTATTCATAATGGATATTGAACATGTTTTAACTTCGGCAGATGATCTTCCAAAGCCAAAAACTACTGATGTAATTAGAAAAGGATCACTTACTGAATATACAGCAGCAGAGGAGAAAGAGGATGGTCGACGCTGGCGTATGTTTAGGATTGGCGAACAGGACCATAGGGTGGACATGAAGGCAATCGAACCGTATAAAAAAGTTATCAGTCATGGTGGTAAGAATTAGTGATGCGCTGAGGGGATCTGTTGAAACTACTACTAGAAGCTGAGATGCAGTGGTACAGCAAAATTGGAAAGACTCAGTGATGCTGTGCTTTGTTGTAGTGTAAAGCATGTGCTTAGTTTGCTACTTCTTGCATTTTAATCTAAAATTGCAGAATGTATTTGTGTTCAGCTCCTAACATGACCATTCATAATGTGCTTAGAAGTTATACAGTCTCAGTGTTATGATCTAAATTTTTTTTGGTTTTAAGAGTGTTGAAAGAAATAGCTTTAGTTTGCTCAGGCAAAAATCAATTTACTGACTCTATCTTAACAATCTATGAGGTTCAGGTAGGAAGAAAAGTTGGCCATCAAAAACATTAAATGTACTGAGATATGGAGTATAGGTACAGCACTTTGATTGCATCTGTTTCCATTATTTCCCTAAAAGTAGATTAACTTTAAAAAATACGTATATATTTAATAATTATAAGCAAAATGTTTTTGGAAACAGACTGACACGTTCTTACCTCTTCCGTCCAAGTGGTTCCAGAAGAGGTTCCAGAAGATCAGTCTGGTGATAGGTGATGTATAGTGTGCGTGTGTGTGCTTGTCCATTTATATACCATTGGTGTTTGCAAAGCTCTTTAAGGGAAATAATGGAAAAACTTGCTGTACATTCATGACTTTTCTTTGAGTGAAAGTGGTCACGATATAATCACTGTAGTCACTACTGCTGTCTTTTTCTTTGTAGGTTATTATGGTGATGGGTTAAATGCCATTGTTGTGTTTGCTGTTTGTTTTATGCCTGAAAGCAGCCAGCCTAACTACAGATACCTAATGGACAATCTATTTAAGTAAGTCATCACCTGCCTTTGAACACTACCTTGGCTTCATATTGTAAAACTTAATAACGTCTTTTTTTTTGTGAAGCTTTTTCTTTTAGGTGAGGGAAGGGTAAAACAATACAGCAACTGTGTCTAATTCCAGGGGAAGAAAGTGACTGGATGTTGCTTAACACTGTTGTCAGCTTCTCCTTTTTGGGCATATTTGGGCAGTACTAGGAACTACTTCAATATCCACAAATGTTCACTTGAGCATTTTCTTTCCCTGTGTTTGCAGGTATGTAATTGGCACTTTAGAGCTACTAGTAGCAGAGAATTATATGATAGTGTACCTGAATGGTGCGACAACACGGAGAAAAATGCCAAGCATAGGCTGGCTTAGGAAGTGTTACCAGCAAATTGACAGACGGTAAGAAGTTCTGTGGTGTTTTCTCCCAGTGTTTGTGTTCAGTGCTGTTTAATGAGGTGTCTGCTAATCATTAAGATGTAACTGTGAAGTATATTGTTTGTTGTATTGAAAAATCTCTTCTGACATCTTGTTGGTGTAGAATAATGGTATGGATATGTTTTGATTTTTTTTTTTTTTTAATTCTGTTTTTATAAGTGAAATCATAGCATTAGAATGGTGGGTACTGCTACAGTGTAGTACTTTGTTAAACATTCATATGCTAATATAATAAGGTGGGTCCCTTGACAATTTCATTGCAAATGTGTTAAAAAAATACTGTAACTTCGGTTGTTAAAATGATGGTAGCCTTTTAATTCTGACTAGGTATTTTTCTAGTGTTTTCTTAGGGCAGTTGGTAATTTCAAGTAATGGGATATCAGAGTGCTAGATCTAAATAACAAAGTTGTAATTGCAAAAATGTTTTGTGTGTGTGTGTGTATATATATATTAAGAAGCTTTTTGTCATGTTACTTTTTGCTCTAATAATCATGTTCAATGTTTGCATCCTTCAGGTTAAGGAAAAATCTGAAGTCATTAATCATAGTTCATCCTTCTTGGTTCATCAGAACGCTTCTGGCCATCACAAAACCTTTTATTAGGTAATAATATGGATGCTATTATTCTTTTTAAAAGTTTAAATGTTTGACTGTTTGAATATTGATCTAATGGATACTTTCTAAGTTGTAACTGTACCCTGCATTTGTTCTTCCACAGCTCAAAATTCAGCCAGAAAATTAGGTATGTCTTTACTCTGGCAGAACTAGCTGAACTCATCCCCATGGAATACGTTGGCATCCCAGAATGCATAAAACAGTACGTCTTATAGTTCAAATGTGTTCTAGGTTGACCATGTGTAGGAAGTGCTGTATAATATATTCAGTGGTTGGTTTGAATGTAATACTTGATATTTAATAAAACTGCTATGTCTAGGAGGAATTGCTGAACCACAGTTTCAATATTCCATACTACAGAAGGAATGCTAATGTGCAAGGACTTTCCTGTATAGTGTCTCACATAATTAGCTGTTTATGATGTGTTTAGTCTTCTGTAGATTAAGCCTTGCTGCAGTTGTTCTACTTATTGTATGCTAAATGGCTTGAGTAAGAAATGCTGTGCACTTACATTGAACTTATAGTATTTTCAGTGTTCATGCTAAACTGCAATACAAATTAAGGAGTGAAATAATCAGTTGGGTAGGGATTTCATTTGAAGAAAGCTGTAGATAAAAAGTGCTTGAATCTCTACCCATTGTACTTCTGAAACTACATCGGCAGAGAGGGGAAGGCAGTACTAATGTCCTTGATTTTCTTTTTTTCCTTCTGCTCTTCCTTTCAGATCTTTGCCATATAATATCTATTTAATGTCAGCACAACTCTGCTCTCAGGTGTGACAGTGACACTTGAACAGAATCAGTGGCTGCAGTAATAAAGCGAAATCGTAAACTTGTCTCTTGAAAAAGCTAGATGGAAATAATAATTCTGTCAGTAGATTAATTGGAAAGCATAACATACAGAGTCCATGGATTATGTACCACAATAGGTGATCACAGATGTGATGGCTCATGGGGAACTCTATAAAGGAAGATAGTGTAGTATCACTTTGGGCAGAGCATCACACCCATGTTGGATAAACTGACTGCTGGGTACCACAGTAAACATTCAGCTGGCATTAGTTGTGAATTTCTTTTTATTTTTTTAGCATAGAGCAAATGCAGTTTTTTTTGTTGAGGGTGAAAGATGTGACAAAGTTGGAGCAGCCTTCTGCTACTCTGAGAATTTTCTCTGGGGATTTTTTGAAGGATATGTTAGGGAAATTCAGGCTGTCATTCCAAGTCTTATAAAGCGACTTTCTCTACTAAAGAATTGCTTGGGTTGGAAGGGACATTAAAGCCCATCCAGTTCCAACCCCCGCTGTGGGCTGGTTGCCACCACTGTATCAGGCTGCCCAGGGCCCCATCCAGCCTTGCCCCCAGGGATGGGGCATCCACAGCTTTTCTGGGCAGCCTGTTTCAGTCTTCAGAGGTCAGCCAAGCTCATCCTTTATAGTAGTTAATTATCAGACTAATGTGTTTGATATCTGGTTTTAAACTATTAAGAGTATAGACTTAAAACTTTAGCGATGGATAAATATTGTACAGGAAGTTGTTCTGGTAGTTAAAATTTAATACTAATTATCTTGAAAATGCAAAATTTTTTTTTTTGCTTTTTTCATTTAAAAACTTGGCATGTTTCCACAAACTATATTGACAGTAATAGCAGTTTGTAGCTTCTATTGAATTTGGCCTTTGTATATTTACTGAAATCAAACTTTTCCCCACCAAGGTATGAAGAAGAAAAGTTTAGAAAGAAACAAACAAGGTATATTCATGTTTTGATGAGGGTTGCATCTAGATAAGACTATTTGCACTGCAACTAACCCCCAGATGATTGGCTTGTGTAAAGGAATAAGCATTTGTAAATATAAACAAGCACTTGTGACCTAGTTCTTATGCATGAAAGTAACATCTGAAAACTCACGTATTTGTAAATAGTGTCTACTATTAAATGTGATTCTGAGTTTTAAGGGGTGTGTGTGGATTCTTAACCACATTCAAGAGCCAAAAGCATGCTTCTGTATGAACTGACTCAATTGTTTCATTGTTTCTAACAAGTGATGTCTAAAGAGCTGTTTTTAGGTGCTAAGCTGTAGTATGCAGCAGAGGCACAACTGTGGAGGAAGTTCTAATATGTATTTAGTTTCATATTAACTACCTTTTTAACTTGCACAGATGCAATTTAATGTTTTGAGTGCTGTTTGTATTTGCAGTGTGTATATTCCTTGGTAACAGTCATTAGATTTTCACTTTGCAAACTTTCAGTCTCTTGCTAATCATTCAAGCTATCCTAATAGCTGTGATAACTTTTATTTTTGCTTTTACTTTTTACTGTATAACTAACAAATGTACTAGAGTGTTCTGTTATTAACTTCACTTCATTTGCCTACTCTTCCGTGTGTGTAACTGTTGAGGGAAGCTTATTGTCTAACTTGGATGACCAAAGAAACAGTGAAATGAAAATTGAAAAAAATAATTTTCTCTGAAAACTTGCACATGAAGCTACTTCACTATGAATTACTCCATTAAGAGAATCCTGTGGTGTTGTAACCTTGATTTCTAAGAAAGCTGAACTTAAGAAACCCACCTTTAGCATCCCTGTCAGTGTCAATACTTGTACTACCAATACTTTTCACAAAAGTTTTACTTCAAAACTGAAGTAGACAGGAAAGATCACAGGCACGAAGTGGTTGTGAGATATTGTGTTGAAAGCAGCTGTAGGCATTATTGTAATATGGGAAAGGAGACATGTTGATGTTTGTTTATGAAGAGTGTTGTGGATGGCAGTAGGAATTCTTTGGCTATGTACACGTCATTTTGGAAGCTAGAGTGTGATACTGTGGATTTATATTGCCAGCTATAGGTCAGTGCATAGCCAACTTGCATTAGCTTACCATATTTTCTCGTGCTTCCTGTAATTCTACAAGTCATGTCAAAATATGCTTTCCTAAGTTACTGCAGTGAGGACAGGGATGAGTTGCAGCAGCATGCTGTGCAGGTAAACCGTTCCTTAATTAGGAATGTTTCTAAATTCCACTGCTCCAGGTTTACTGAATCCATATGTTTAGGTGCAGTTCATAAAACTGTAAAAAATAGAACATCTGCCTCCTATTTTTATGGGTTCATGACCTGGAAGAGTTGTCATTGTTTTAATCACTTTGAAGAAAGTGGCTGGCTATCATTGGAGAGACTGAGCAGATAGGCTAGCCAGTTCTTCTGTTAGAAGAGAAACTTATCCTGAGCCTCTGTTGCTTTGGAACTATGATTGGTTCTAAAGTTAAGTGATCTCCATTATTTTCCAGAAGATAAAGCTAAGAGTGTAGTTGATTGTAAAGATCTAAAGATGAGAAGTTGATCTAAAGATGAGAAGTACGTTTCATGCAGCACTGTGAGCCATCCCCTGCTTTCTGCGAAGCAACATGTTGTTCAGTGGCCCAAGGTAGATACAGAAACTCCTCAAAAATGATTTTTTCCTGGGTAGTCAAAGGAGTCTTATAATTTGATGGAAAGTACTGCAATTAAGGAGCCACTAAACTCTTGTTAATTAAGTTTTTGCTGTTACCTTCTTGGCTTAGTTACTTAAAATTGAAGAAAATTCTGTACTAATATTGCAGTGTATGAGTTCATCCGTAGCAGCACCTGATAGTATTGTTAACTGCGAACTTGTGTTCCTGCTTGTATTTATTAGTAAGAGTACAGAACGTTTTTCTTGCTGTGCAGTCAAAATGTACTTGTGCTTTTCAAATGCTATGCTTACTTTAATGGCTTCTTAACAATTTTAATCAATTTTGAGGGGGAAGTAAGAAAACGGACTTTTTAAACATCTTATTGTAACTGCATTTAATAAAAATCTTAACTATTCAATATTTACATGCTAAACCTTGTTCCATGCAAGAGCTTTCACCTTTTTCTGTTAATAGTTTTGCGTAATATATAAGCGAACTAAATTTGTTTTTAACACAGTTCTAACATCACTGTTTTCTTTACTAAGCAGAGTTGACCAAGAGCTGAATGGAAAACAAGAGCAGAAAAGTGAACAGTAAGTTGAGAGACAGAACAAGACTGAAGAATATACAGATGGATTTATGCTATTTTCTTCATTTATGATGCATTCTTGTGTGTATATATTACATAACTTGTTGCAAGAGGTGCTTAACTTTAGACTGGCACACAATGGACTCTTCACTGCTGTATTGGTTTGTCTTGATTTGAGTAGCTACCTTTGTGTAATCCTTTTATACGGCCAAATGTCAAAGAACCCCATGTTTAGAGGATGTTCTTACAATTGTTTATCTAAATGATGCATGTTCTTCAGTAAAATATTTATATATCTAAATGCTAAAGGAAAGATAATATATATTTTTATGACTTTGAGCAATACGTTGTGTACCTGCTGAAGGAATTCATTTGCAGGTAGGCGAGGCCATAAACTACTTGTTATTGTATAAAGCGCGTGATCTGTTTCTGCTCTAAATGGTCAAGTGCATTTCTTGGTTGTCAGAGAAACCTTAATTTGTTTGAAAATTAACAATCACATAACGTAGTCTACTATATGCGTGGAGATGCTTATTTCTGTTCACACCTAATACAAGCAGTACTCATTTACCTCACTAGAGTGAGCTTGAGCTTTGTCTTGTAGTCCACTTCTCAGAACACAGATCTGGAGTTCTCTGAATTCCTGTCTGTTGGCCAGAGGGTTTAAGCCTAAGCTGCAGTGGAAACTAAACTGTGTAAGTGACTGATATCAGACCTGTGTAAATTTAAGCTGCAAATTTCAGATTCTGCTTCAGTAAATGAAGGCTAGTTCAGCTACAAGGATGAAATGAGTTTGTTCTGGGTTGTGTTGGTTTTGGTTCGTTTTTTTTTTTTTTGTGGATAAATATCAGTTATCACCAGTAATTCTGGTTATTTTTCAGTAGAGCTTGAGAGTGGCATAAATATCTTACCCATAATATCACTTGTGTGCAGAGATTGGGGGACTCTTACTATTACTGTGTCATCCTTGTAAATCAGCATCCATTTCTAAAGCTCTTGGCTTGGCACCTGATAGTAGTATTAACTTCACCAAAAAAAACCAACAATATAAAAGGTTTCCTCCTTATCCCATAAGGGTAGTAAAGTTGCCTATATAAAAAGCGTTCTTGGATTCCAGGGCAACAGTTAGGCACTGACTGATAGCCTGTAAAAGTTTGTGAAGTGTCTTGAGCATTGCTGTTTTCTGTAAGGACAGATGCACACAAATGAATCCATTCAGGAGCTGAGCAATTAAATGTTTTAGCAAATACTCAATCTTCAGATATTTTGTCTTTAAAATGTCAATTTCATTTAGTGTTATACGTTTCTCTTGAACTTTAAAAAAAAAAAAAAAATGCATTCAACTAGATTAATACCTGGCATGGATTAGTGGCAGTCTAGCTAGTTCCATGGTCAACATTTATTAATGGCCACTTCATGTAGAATCTCTCTAATGATACACATAATGGTCTGGGAACAGATACTCATGTCAGATAAAGATGAACTGCCCATGTCTCTGGGAGTTTGTCTGTGATTCAGAGGCTTTCATCTCAAGGTCTTGGTGCTTATGCTACCTTCTGTATTGTGGTTTCAAAGAGATTAATATCTAGGATGTTCTCTTTCAGGAGGTAATATTGATTTCAAATTGCCTTGAATCTATTACATCATGTTTGGATCCTGCTTTGAAAGCAGAACACAAATGTGAACGTTTCATTTTAAGGCTTTTTTCCTCTTCCGAATTTGATGTTGACCTGGATTAAAGTTAGTGAAGTGGACATTTTCACAATTTGTTTAATGCTTCCACAATGCAACACATCTGAACAGACAAACCTGGAAACCATCCCAGTCTTTGCTGATTCTGTGTGAGTCCTAGGGTAGATGCTAAGCATTCCAATCCACTCATCTTGTTTCAAATTCTTCCTAGTTCAAAGAAGTATTCTTCTCAGTAAAGTCATGTTTATAATGGAACAACTGAACTTCTGTGACTATCTGTCCTTTCCCTCCTATGTATATATTGTCCTTTAGAGTAGACAGTCCTCTGTTTAGGGTGAATTCTCAAATGATAAGATTATTGGTTGTTTTTTTTTTTTCTTCTGGTGGCTGAGTGGCTCTGCAGTTTCATGTTGCAGTAGTACTATTTCTTTTGGAAATACTTCCCTAAAAGTCTGTTTCTTCAGTATTAGTTTTTGTGAATGAATACACTGTAAAACAGTTGTTCTGTCCTGAAAATATACACAGCATGAGAATCTTGTGTACTAAAGAACGATTCTCCTCTGACCTTTTCCAGCTCATCATTTAATGATGAGGGGGATGTTTACAAAAAGCAGAGGTCCCAAAGTTATCCTGAACTCGAATTAACTTGTCAACTTTATATTTTTAAATATATAGAATAATTTAATATATTTTAATATTTAAAAACGTTGGAGTTAGAATTTCATACTTTATTAAAGTTATTTCTTTCTGAATTGCTTTGTGAAAAGTAACAGTATTACAGGGGGTTCACCTTATGCACTTCTTCCTAGAGGTAGAATTTGTGTTGCTGGAATATGTTTTGAGCTCTGCTGATAGAAGTTGGAGTCACTAATTCACCTTCAGTTTGGAGGTTTCATGAGTTTGTGTGTATGTATATATACGTGCTAATGGATACCTTGTTATTGCTGTGTGACACTGAAATGGAGTTGTTTGAAATGGTGATCTCTGTATGTGTGGATGTGAGGTTGTATAAAACAAGTTTTACAACGGGAGAAACATTCAGAAGTGACAAAGGTATTTTGGAGAAAGTGTCATTAAAAACTGATGTGGATAGACTCTGGATTGTATAAGTACTCTTGATGGTTTTATGTAGCGTGGCAAAGCTGTGTTCTACTGGAAAGTAACAGTGAGGGATCCATAGAAATTTAGTGCTGAATCATACAGAAATCTTTTGAAGTTTTGGAATTTTAAAATACACATTCTCAGTTCAGTTTAGAATTTTCAGTTCCATAAAGCTTGGAACTAGTTAGAGTAATATGTAACTTCTTTGTAACTTTATGTAGCTTAGCATATTTCTTCTTCCTTTCCAGAGGACAAGTGAAGAAGAGTATTTACTTGCTGTTAGGAACTGTGCATTGAAAACAGTAGTTATATTCCAAATTGCATACAACTAGTCTTAGCTGGGTTAACATGTCTTGCCAAGTTTCTTCCTTCACACACTTTAATGCTCTAATGGCAGATTAGGATGTTTCAACAGGAAATTTGTGTCAGACTTCAAAGTTGGATGAAATGTTGGTGGTAATGGGATCTTATGAAATGACCTCACAGTGTGTCAAAAGGAGAAGAGGGCATTAGTGCCTAGTTACAGCCTCACCAATGTCATAGACTGGAAAGTCTAATAACTGTGGGGAAAAAAACAATTGAACTAAATCATGAACAGATGGTTTTAAACTAAATCTGTAATGAGCAGTAAGATTCTTGGAGAAAGGTGTATTTCAGTGTCAGACTTTATTTGTGTATCTTGCAGACTTATATTGTATTTATTATGTAGAAAGATGGCTTAAGTGCATCTCTTACCCAAGCTGTTGTCTCTGAAGGTGACGTTAATTCTCAAGTCATTCCAGTCTCCCTTAAAAGCCTCATGTGAGGAAGAGGGGGAAGGGATAATTGCTTGTGTGCTTTCAGTAACCACAGAAGACTTAGAAGGATTTTGGAGAAAAATATGTATTCAGTCCTTGTGGATGCAGGTCATTCTCGAGAGGATTTTTTTCATGCTGGTTGTTAAGTGTGCTTTAATGATACTTTTCAAGGATACCCGATTTTAGTCAGAGTAGCACTTTGATATATAAGGAATATTTAAATGTATTTTGAAAGACATTTTGCAGCTTTCCTAACATCAGGATTGTAAGTTGAACTACACTTTCTCCTGTCACCTCTTGTTCTCTACATTCAGCTAACAGGAATGAGGGCAGTTGTGAAGTAAAAGAGAGTGCAGTTCTGTTTGTGTTTTCATCATTCCATCCAAGCATGACTGAGATGAATTAAAAAGCTTTAATTTTGCTAAACTATTTCAGATCACTTTTGTTTTGTGATTCGGATAGCCCAGATTATTTGTTTAAACATTTTTTTTTTTCTGTTTTTTTAAATTATCTAAAGAACAACTGGCTTTTTCAATTAATTAAAAAAAAAAAAAGGGAAATCTGTACCTTACCATGGACCTTCCTCTGGCTTACTCAGGGCTGACTATTAGTTGTGACATGAAGTTCCACATTAAAATTTGTTCACAGAAGATAAGTGTTTCATTTCCCAGTGGCTCTGTAGTTCTGTGTTGCTTCTTACTCAGCATCTGAACAAGGCCTGTATAGAAAAAGGGAAGGAGCCCTTCAACGGGCTTAAAAATTGTCTATGAACGCAATTATTGGTCTGCACAGTGTGGTAAACTTGCAGTTTTTAACTAAATGGAGCTGTAGCAGTCATGCCAAACCATGAATCATTCTATAACCAGCTTAAATAATTGACTCTTAGCAGTCATTGCAGACACGATTGTATTTTGCTTTGTCCCTTTTGTATAAAGCTGTGTGAATACAAGGCTCTTCACCTACCTCTTGTATTAGTATTCCTTCTTTTCTGTTTGCTTTCCAAGATGTCACGGAGTAATGTGATGAACGTGTCTGACCGTGCCAGCTGTGAGCACTTATCAGAACCTTTTAATTAGGAAAAAGTAAATGCTGAATGCAATAAATATTTTTGAAAGAGGTCTGCATGTTTTCTTTTCCTACTTAGGACTGTATGCTGATTTAAGTTTCAGGAGTCTTGTACTGCCCCCTCTTGGAAAGCATGAAATGTGACGTGGGTGCAGAAAGCGCTGTGGGCGCAATGAAACGCAGCGCCTTGCTGAGGACGTTCACGGCCTCTGGTGGCTTTCAGGCCGCGGCGGGGCGCAGCCCTGGGGGTGGAGCCAGCGCTCGTACTTCCGCTTCCGGGTCGGCGGTCAGCGCGGCCAGTGCTTCTTCCGGCCGCTCGGAACGGGTGAGGCGGCGGCGGGCGGTGGTGAGCCGGGGCCGGGCCTGGCGGGCGGCCTCGGGGAAACGTGGGGTCGGGGCTGGGGCTGCGGATCCCTGTCCTGCTGGAGCGCCCCGCTCCGCAGTGGGCACCCTGTGCCGGGGGCTGGAGGCCGGCCGGCCCGGCAGCCGAACGGGAGGCGGACGAGGCCGGCCCCGCGTGTCGCGTTCGGGCCGTGCCGGTGCGGCTCCGGCCTGCTGCCCGGGCTCTCGGCTCCTGCCGTGTACTGGGCAGCTAAAGGCCGTGTTGTGTTTTGTAGGTTTTTTTTCCCTCGTTTATTAAATGAGAGCAAGGATACAGCAGGCGTCCCGAGCCGTGGATGGTCAGTAAGGCGGCCAGCGCACCGCAGGAACCATGGCCTATCAGCTGTACCGGAACACCACTCTGGGCAACAGCCTGCAGGAGAGTCTGGACGAGCTCATCCAGGTGCGAGCGCCGGGCTCGAGGCGGCTGCTGGGAGCGGCGGGGCAGATACAGCCGGATATAGCCATGCTGCGGGCAGCGTCTCTGCTTTCAGAACGTTTACCTATTGAGATCAAAAGCAATTTGCGTTACGTGGGAGCCTTTAGGTGAACGTTGTAGATGGAAGCCTTTTCTGATGTGGCATTCTCCCCTGTTGTGTGGTCCAGTAAAGCTATAGCCAGGCTATTCTGGAACACTGCAATCAGTTTCCTCTTCTGCTGGTTTCCAACTAACCAGCAGCAATCTTCGTGTAGCACAAAAAATCTTTTAGCACGTTATTTCTTTTCCCGGGCTTAAGGTGGGAAAACAAAGGTAAATAAGGGGATATGGAGCTGTTGGAGCAGGTCCAGAGGAGCGCCACGAAGATGATCAGAAGGCTGGAGCACCTCCCCTATGAAGACAGGTTGAGAGAGCTAGGAATCTTCAGCCTGGGGAAGTCTCCAAGGAGACCTTATTTTGGTGGCCTTCCAGAACCAGAAGAGGGCCTACAGGAAGGCTGGGGAGGGACTTTTTATAAGGGCAGGTAGTAACAGGACAAAGGGAAATGGTTTTAAACTGGAAGAGGGTAGATTTAGACTGGATATTAAGAATAAATTCTTTACTGTGAGGGTGGTGAGACACTGGAACAGGTTGCTCAGTGAGGTTGTGGATGCTTTCTTCCTGGAAGCACTGAAGGCCAAACTGGATGGGGCTGTGAGCAACCTGGACTAGAGGGGGATGTCCCTGCCTGTAACAAGGGGGTGGAACTGGGTGATCTCAAAGGTCCCTTCCAAGCCAAACCATTCTATGATGATACTTCTGTAATGCTTTTATAAGCTATTCTTTTAGAGACCTCTTCCCATAAACTTTCTTGTGATATTCTTAGTTTTTAGTGCGGTTCTGTTTTCTTTTTTTTCTTTTTTGACTGAAAGTGGAAGCAACTCAAAACTTGTTTTTACACCTCTTCAGTCACAGCAAATCACTCCTCAGCTGGCCCTTCAGGTGCTACTTCAGTTTGATAAAGCTATAAATTCGGCACTGGCACAACGAGTCAGGAACAGAGTCAATTTCAGGGTAAGATAACTGCCTGTCACAGTTCTTGGTAAGCGATGGTGGTTTGAGTGTTGATGCAGAATGTCATTAAAAACTGTGTGCTGTGAGCAGAGATTTTAAAAGGTTCTTTATGATTCTGAAATAATGGCTGCCTACTTGTATGTTCGGTATTTAATTGTGAAGCTTATTATCTCCCTGGTCTGTTGGGGAATTTTTGAAGGAATGCAGAAATTGGAAACAAGAATTTGGTGGGATGAGAGCAGAGGAAAAAGGAAAAGCTGAAATGTGTAGTGTTGCTGTTGTTAGTGTCCTGCAGATGGGAAGAACTTTGCTCCACTGAATTGCATTCTGCGGAAGTGAGATAAAGCCAGTTTTTCAGCCACAGCTCTGACAGGAAAAGAGACTAGAGAGATGCAGGTGTACTTTTATAATCTGTTTGCTGTAGGTCTCACAGAAAAACTTGTTTTTTTCACAGCCACCCTCTTTAGTTAATGGCAGATAGCCAACAAATTATTGAATGTCAATTTGATTGTAGTATTGAGGGAAAAGTTGTCCTGAGTATTTCTCTGCAGTCTATGCAGAATGCAGAAATAAAGCATGCTTGTAGGATTTTAGATTTTTTTTTTATTTTATTTTGGTGTTTTTTTCCCCTCACATAATTCTTTTTAATATGTAGTGTAGCAAACTGTCCTGAAGATGCAAAACAAACAAATTTCACGTGGAGCTTAAGTTCCAGAAGAATCAGTTTAAAATATGAGAAGATAAAGGCCAAAAGGTGTGCATGTCAACACCTTTGGAATGCGCCACGTGTAGGAAAGCCCTGTTATGTCATGCTGATTAGTTTTTTCTCTTATAAACAATTGCAGAATTCATATATTCTGTGATCACTGCTCATATTCCTCGGGTTTTAAGAAATCTTTTTTGGTACTAATATAAGTTACATAGTTCGTTAGTGCACGTGAGAAAGCTTTTTAGCATACCTATGAAACTTCCATTTGCATAGAGTGTAACATCCCTGCATTGAAAAGATACATGGAAAAGCCTTGAAAACTTCAGCCACTGGAGGGCATTTAAATAACAGTTTTCCCCAGTTGCTTGCTTGTGTGTTTGCATGCATTCAGGTTCATAGTTGGTTTTATGGCAAGCCGATTTGTCGTTCTAGAAGGTGCATAGTTCTGTAAAGAGTAAATGTCATATTTTCTGATATTTTGGGGATGCCACCTATAGAAAATATCTTCTGTTTTCTTTCAAAGGGATCTCTGAATACATACAGGTTCTGTGACAACGTATGGACGTTTGTACTGAATGATGTTGAATTTAGGGAAGTCACTGAGCTTGTGAAAGTGGACAAAGTGAAAATTGTAGCATGTGATGGAAAAAGTAAGTATGAAATAGAATATAAATAAGCACAGGCACTAGACCTTTTCATTTGTAGAAAGCTTTGATTGATTCTCTGATTAAAGCTATACTGATTGTATTTTTCAGGCGGAAGTAGGGCTCTGAACTCTGTTTCACTTCTCATCATTTGTTAAATAGAAGCCAGCTGGATGCTTCCCTAGCTCATAAGCACTGAAATAGGAACGTGTGAGAGATTGTGGACACCTGTTGTGCAAGTGCTATCACTACAGTGATTCCAAAGTCAGAATTAATCTGGTTTGAGTTCCTGCATAGTGATTTTTGCAGTATTAACCAGTTTGCTAGAACATCACCACATTTTATTGAAATCAAATACTGTTTCATCAGTCTGAGCAAGCAGTGATACCTGTTGGAGCAATTGGTTGCTGGATTTGATAGCGTGGGACCCATGCACATGGGAAGCTTTTGATGGCATGGCAGATCACGTGGTGCAACTCGTGTCTGGCTCAATGGGCCCCCTGTATGTAACTGCTTATAGGAGTTTATCCCCATCCGTGTGACTGGATTGCTTTTGTCAGTGTTGCTTGAAGTTCTCATTGGAAAAAAAAATCATTTAGCAGCTTCACAACTTTTCCAACCATTGATTGACAGAATGTCACTGGTGTGTGAAAAGGTGCCCGTTGTTTTGTTCTTAGAGGTGGTGCTAACAGGAAGAACTGAGAATGGAAAAGGCTGTAGTTATGTGTAAGATAGCCCACAAAATAAGTTCTTCATGACTTTTTGGATTCTGGCATGATTATAGGGGTCATGTCAACTTGTAGTTCTAGATAGCTGTCAGAACTTATTGTTTGTTCAGCCTCTGCTGTTAGCTACTGTTTCTTTCAGCTTATTGGACATATTCACTCACATGTATGCAGATAAGGTTTAAAGAACTGGGTGATTTAAAGTTGTTACTAAAATTTCAGCTCTTTTTCCACAAAAAGACTTGCTTAAAAAACTCGTAGTAAACATTGATGTGTTTTCTACTTTATCCAAAGACCAGTATTTTTTCCACAGTGCTAAGAACAAAAAAGCAATGACAATGGTAATAGTAGAAATTGCACTTCTGACAAAAGTTCAGAACAGAGTATTGCACTCAGTTATTTTATGAAGGTCATGCTCATCCTCACAGGTATTTAAAAATGCATGATACATATACTGCAGTAGCACAGATTCCATAGGAGCTTTTGCTGTGGGACGTGTTAACTTTTCTCTTTGGCAGATCACGTAGTTTAGTAAGATATGCTTGTGATTGACTGCAGTAAAGTGCGTGACGCAGAGTTAGAGCAAAGCCTCTTCTGTTTTTGGTACTGTATTGGCAAATGATGTATATGCACAGCCTTGAAGTTTTACAGTGGCTGTTCTCAGCATCATTAAATGAGGTGAAAGTACACAAGCAGTCCTTGCCTCACATTATAGCAGTGAAGGGATTTGGGTAGGTACAGAGCATGTGCTGTATTAAAAGGCTTGAGGGGATGTTTTTGAGTTTGAGGAAGGTATTAAAGAATGGCGTTTGTTCTCTTTAACTGAAGTCTGTGGGATAGTGTGTATTACATTGCCTTTTTTCTTTCCTAGACACTGGTTCCAATGCTGCAGAATGAAAAGAACTGTGGTTTGCCTGCAATATTTTCTGTTAATGCGCAGCACTTTCTGGAGAGAAGCATGGAAAGGGACTGTGTTTGTACTTGCATTACTTGCATCTTGTGATGCAGATGTGAGTTAATCCGTACTAAGAAAGCATCACAGGAAAACAGTGGAAGAAATACCTGTAGCATTTCTTCAGTTCACCACGTGGGGCATGAAG